TTGGTTGGCACATTAAGGAAAGAGATGTCGATGGTGAATGCCGGCGAACGGCCGTACACGAGGTAGAAAGGTGAGTAGCCAGTAATTATTTGAACAGTGGTGTTGTGGGCAAACGTCACAAAAGGCAAAATGGTATCCCAGTTGTCGTGGTTTGGTGCGATGTACATTGACAGCATGTCTGTTAGTGTCCGACGAAATCTCTCTGTCAGCCCATTAGTTTGGGGGTGGTAGGCTGACGTCGTCTTATGTACTGTACCACAGGTTGTGAGCAGGGTTTCGATTATGGTGGACAGGAACGTCTTGCCGCGATCACTCAGGAGAACGCGAGGTGCACCGTGACGCAATACAAAGGCGTTGAGAAAGAAGTCTACGGCGTCTGAAGCAGAACTTGTGCGTAGTGCAGCAGTCTCTGCGTACCTTGTCAGGTGGTTGACAGCAGTCACAATCCAACGATTACCTGCTGGCGTGATGGGGAGAGGTCCGAGTAGGTCTATGCCAATGATGGCAAAAGGAGTCTCGGGACACGGGATAGGTTGCAGAAGGCCAGCACGAGACGAAGTTGGTCGCTTCCGCTGTTGACACAGATGGCAAGATGCAACGTACTTGGCCACAAAGGTAGAGATGCCTGGCCAGAAGAAACGGTTTCTGATGCAGCTTTGTGTTTTGTGAAATTCCAAGTGGCCTGCACATGGGTCGTCGTGAAAGGCTTCGAGGACTTGATGACGTAGAGAACGCGGAAGTACTGGAACCCAGCGGTGTCCATCAGTAGTGTAAACGTAATGATGGAGCACATTCTTATCGAGCTTAAATTGCCGTAGTTGTCGGCGCAATCTAGCATTAGGAGTAGTTGATGTGCCATTTAGGCGTTGGATAATGCGATTGCACTATGGATCATCACGCTGGCGTGTGGCGAACTCGGTGTAGCGATTTGAAGCCGGCGTTTCGATAACCGTAAGGTGTGATAATGTGAGGGGTGACGCAGTGCCTTGCCCACCAGACGAGCAATCAGCTGACGTACTTGATGATGAAAGTGGAAGGGGGCAGCGAGAGAGAGAAACTGCATCTTGGTGTCTTTTGCCAGACTTATAGATGACGTCAAAATCGCACTCTTGCAGGCGGAGCACCCAACGACCGAGGCGACCAGACAAGTTTCTCAGTGTCGATAGCCAGCACAAGGCTTGGTGGTCTGTAATCACTGTGAAGTGGCGTCCGTAAAGATACGGTCGAAATGTTTGTATGGCCCAAACGACAGCGAGGCACTCCTGCTCAGTTATGGTGTAGTTCTGTTCAGCAGCCGTAAGAGCATGACTAGCATACGCTATAACTCTTTCCCGTACAGTGGCATCCCGCTGTAGAAGAACTGCACCAATGCCATGGCCGCTCGCGTCGGTGTGCAGACATGTAGGTGCGTTCTCGTCGAAATGGCACATAACTGGGTCAGACGTTAAAGCATTCTCGAGGGCTTGAAAGGCACGCTCACAGTCGTCGTTCCAAGCGAAAGTTGATCCGGATGTCAGCAGCTTGTGAAGTGGCAACGCGATGGCAGCAAAATGACTAATGAAGCGGCGGAAGTAGGATGCCAGTCTCTGGAAACTTTGTAGGTGTTTCTGATTTTCTGGCCGAGGGAAGCGTATCACGGCAGCAAGCTTGTGAGGATCCGGACGAACGCCCTCTTTGCTGACAAGGTGGCCCAACTTGTTGGCGAAATGGCATTTTTTTGTGTTTAGCTGAAGTCCAGCACTGGAAATACACGTCAAAACTTCGTCCAAACAATCAAGATGCTGACGAAAAGAAGATGAGAAAATGACGATGTCATCAAAATAACAGAGACATGTTTTTCATTTCAGGCCGCGTAGAACTGTGTCCATCATGCGTTCAAACCTGGCAGGAGCGTTACATAAACCGAATGGCATGACGTTAATTCGTACAGCCCGTCTGGTGTTGCAAAGGCAGTTTTTTCTTTGTCCGCTTCGTGCATAGGTATTTGCCAATAACCAGACCGTAAATCGAGGCTGTAGAAAAATTCAGCGCCTTGCAGAGAGTCAAGTGCGTCGTCGACTCGTGGCATCGGGTAGACGTCTCTGCGCGTGATCTTATTAAGAGCTCGATAATCGACGCAGAATCGCACCGAACCATCCTTTCAGACTAGCACCACAGGCGATGACCACGAGCTGGACGAAGGCCGGATAACATATCGTTTGAGCATATCAGCAACGTTGTCCTCGATGATTTTCCGCTCTGCGGACGACACTCGATATGGGCGGCGGCGTACGATTGTATTGCCTTCAGTTTTAATTCGATGCATGGCGACAGAAGTGCGACCCAGAAACTTGGAATATACATCAAATGAAGCGCTGTGTTTTTAAAGCACACCCAAAAGTTCTTGCTTTTGCGCTGACGTGAGATCGGGATTTATTGTGGCTTTTAAAGCACCCGTTGCAGCCTGGTCATCAGTACTCGTAGAAAAAGAGGGCGAGTCTCCGTGAAGGGGCACCAGAGAAAGTGGTTCGGTATTTGTGAAGCAAACCACACTGGTGCCCTGGGGCAGTGCAACAGGCAATGAAGTGGGGTTAACTGCCGTAACTAATGCTCTGCCATCACGAAAGCGCACCAGGCTAGGAGTGATGGTAAGTCCACCAGAGATGTAACATTCACACGGTGCTAGGAACACATCACAAGTATCGATCTTATCTGATGTCAGGGTCAGAATATGCTCACTACCGGGAGGAATAAAACAGTCATCAGCGGTGACGAAACGCTGGCTATGGGTATAGTTATCAGACGAAAGTGCAGTATCTGACATGTGAATGACCCTCTGACGGCAAGATATCACGGCTGAAGCTGAGGAGAGAAAGTCCCATCATAAAATGAGCGGATTGGTACACGATGACAGAACAAGGAGCTGTATATGGTAAAGGATGCCCTCAATAAAAACTCGTAACGTGCAAACACCAGAAGACTGAACAAAAACCGCATTAGCACAGCGAAGGGGAGGGCCATCATACGGTGTCTTCACTTTGCGCAAACGGGCACACAAGTCCACACTAATAACTGAGAGCGATGCACCTGTGTCCACCAAGGCTTCAGTCCATCTACCCTCAACACACACTGAAAGTACATTTGAGGGGCGTTCCGGAGGAGTTCGATGCAGTCCGCCAAATGCAGCTTTCCCCCCTGAAGCTGCACTGTTTAGTTTTCCGGGCGATGATCAGACGCCGTGGTAGCCAGGCGAAGTGGTGACGAGGAATGGCGCATAGGTGACGGCGAGCGACAGCGCGAGGAGCTGAAGGTTCTGGCTGCATCGAAGTGCTGCGGAGAGGGTGAGCGGCGTTGGTAAAGTTGGTATGGGTGACGATGTTGTGGAGAGGGGCCAAACTCATCCCTCTCGTAGTCACTATAGCCCCGCCTTTTGTCTTGTTGACGTCGACGACAGAACCGTGAGATGTGGCCGCGTATTCCGCAATAATAGCAAATGGGTCGAGATGGACGCCAGGCTTGAAACGAAAGAGGCGTTGCTCTTTGGGCAAGGACATTCAGTGAAGGCTGCATAGTTGATACATACTGCGGTGATTGCTGAGGAGGTGACGCTGCAACCACCTGAGCGTACGTCGGCTTTGGAGTGGTATGCGAGCTCGGGACTTGCTCACACGTCATGGACGCTAGTTCCTCCCTCACAATGTTCCGGAGGCTGCCTGAAGGCGTCATGCGGAGCTCATAAGATGACGAGGTGGCTTGGAGTTGCAGCTCCTCGCGGATCATAGACCGCATCAACGCACGGAGCTCACCGTCATGCGTTGGCCTGATATCTGCTGTTTCAGGTTGCAAACGTATAGGTTGAAGGTCATCAAGTCGCTGACACGTACTGATCATATCGGCAACCGTGGTCGGGTTCCTTGCCGCCAGAGCGGTAAATGCGACGGCGCCTATGCCCTTGAGCAAATGGCGAACGCGGTCATGCTCCGTGATCGAGCTGTCAACGCGACGGCATAGGGCGAGGACATCTTCAATGTACGATGTATAGGACTCGCCGGAGTGCTGGACACGTTCAGCAAGCTTTCGTTTGGCGATGTCCGCACGTACGGAAGGGTTGGCAAATATCTGACGGAGCTGCTGCTTAAAGGTAGGCCATTCTGGGAAATCCAGCTGATGGTTGAGAAACCATGTCTTAGCGACACCCGTCAGGTAGAAAGGTACACGGGACAGCTTCACAGAATCATGCCAATAGTTGAGCGCACTCACACGGTCGTACTCATCCAATCAGTCTTCAACGTCTTCACCGCGAAGATCGGAGAACATCGGGGGATCTTTTTGAGGGGCGGTGACAGTTCAAGAAGGCGTGCCCAGGGGTGCAGGCGGGGTGGATGGAGCCGTATTGTTGTGCTCGTCTTGCGACATGACCGTAGGCTGACTACGCAGATGGCAACCCGACCGGAGCTCCAGGGATGGTTTGTTGTCGAAGATAACGAAAAGGCGCTGCAGGGAGAGGACCAGGGGATTGGAAAGCACTCTCCACCACTTGTAAGGCAACGTTTTGGCTGCAAGACACCTGTTTTACTTGCCGAGCCTCTGCCGCACAACACAGGTCAGACTGATGATGATGAGTATGTACATATGGTTATGAGATGACGCGTATGAATAATGCTCATAGTATACGTTTCGCTTCTATGGAAACGCAGCTGGCTTATGCGGTAATTGAATTCCCTTCTTCGATCCTTGCATCGCAACACCTTAACCAGCTAACTAATGGGTGGTTGATGCTTGAAATGTACAGTGGTTGTCCATTTGCTGTAGCTTCAGTTTACAAACGCACTTCCTTTTTATATGAATCTAACCATCGCGTTTGTCCCATAAACAGTTGGTAATATTGTGCATTACCAAAAATTCTTGAAAGTGACGGAAGTATCGGCGAACTGCCATAATGCACTCTTGACGCCTTTGAAAACTTGACGGGCAGTTATTTCCAGCTCTCCATGATTTTTAAACTATTGCAGCAGCTCACAATGCAGCAGCAGTTCGTGCCTTCTTTCCAGGATGACGAAGGAGAGGTGCCCTTAGCGTGTGAAATGCGACATAGGAGCCCCAAGGAACATGTTTTCGTGTACGCAATAGGAAAACCAAGCAAGCTTGGGCTGTTAGAGCGACCGGAGTTTTGCCCTTTTTTCAGGGCGATGGACGGCACTGTGCAAACTGAAGCCTGTCTACCAAAGCCCCCCCTTATGAACAAACACAGCGAAAAAAGAACGCACAAGTTACTCGCCTTCGTGCCCCCCCGTCCCCCCTGTAGACGAACTTCCGACTGCCTGCAGTATTAACAGTAGTGGATGATTGAGTATGCTGTTAAAGGCTCATGATGAAACTGGCGAAATATGCACGAAGAGCTTCGTCCTGTGCTCTTCGTGCGTATCGCGCTACTTTGATCACGAGCAGATGAAGTATCCGGAATAGGGAATTGCATTGGTGAGCAGTCATGCTCATTGCGATTTCCTGGTGACGTTTCGTGTGTAGAGAGAAATCTTTATAATATTTTTCTTAGACGGTGTGAGTGTTGTAGTTCCTTAGTGTTAGCTTAACATGCAAGTAAATGATAAAGCGTTACGTGAAGCACACGTGTAAGTTTTGAATAAGTTTTATGAGCATCACTGATATATGTGCATTAGAGGGTTGATGAATGCAATATATTGCATTCATCAAGCCTATAATGCAAACACGCACTAGCCCTTGTCATTAGACGCGTATCATATTGTGATGCGAGATGACGCACTGTGAGACGATGAAATACGTTTGTGAAACTAAGTGTATTCTGTTGCACTGATATAGTATAGCGTGATTTATTACAAATGGTTGGCTGCAAACTAGGGAAATCTATAGTTATGAGGGCAGCTGACATTTGTACACATATACAGGTCTTACTTACCGGATTTTAGGTCCAGCAGCAGGAATCCAGATATTGCCACGTTCCATTTCACAAGTTTTTGTTATCGTTCCGAAACACCACACGATTCTCGGCGCAAACCGCGCCTGCAGGTTTCGAGAAGGTTACGGACTGTAGTAGATCATTTCGATAAGATCACGCCCACTGTGCGAACGGTACAGATTGTTCTGGAACCTACGCCACCACCAGCGATAACGCTAGAACATTCGACGGCAAGGGTATAAATGCCGACGCACTTCGCCGCTTGTCAGTTGTTGATCGAAGGCCGACGCTGCGTTCGCCGCTATCAGTCCGAGACTGCTATCTGTGCAAGACTGCTGCTGTAATTAGACTTTCCCTTTACCGGGCACAGGTTCGCCCAAATAAACAGTTAAATCCCAACACGAAGTTTCCTGTCTTTGGCCACGTCACGACCTCGTGACATCTGGTGGAGGTGCTGCTTCGTTCATGTACCGGACGCCCCCGTCAAGCCGTGAACCCAGCCCCCGTCGCGGAGAAGACACCGACGCCAACCAAGAGCAGCGAACGAGCCGCCGACAGCAAGGTCTTCCACCGGAGTACGGCCTTCTACAAGACAAGGCGCGGAAGACCAAGACCATGACCTCGACTGCAGCGACAATGAGAAGCGGAGCGTCCCAGCCCGCGATCGTCATTCATCAACCCAGGGAACCACCAACGTTCCATGGCTCATCGTTTGAAGACCCGGAAACCTGGCTAGAAACATACGACCGTGTGGCCGCCCTCAACCACTGGGACAACGAAGAAAAGCTCCGTCTTGTGTACTTCTACCTGGAAGACACCGCAAGGACCTGGCTAGAGAATCGGGAGTCCACGCTCCGAACGTGGGATGTCTTCTGCGGCGCATTTCTGCAAACGTTCGATAGCGTCGCTCGCAAAGAGAGGGCCGCTGCTCTGCTCGAGACCCCAATCACGAAACATCGAATCATAACCGAAGAAAATGCCAGACCACTCCGTCAGAGTCCGTACAGGGTTTCGACGCGAGAACGTGAGGCAATGAAGAGACAAGTTGATGAAATGCTGCGAGATGACATTATTCAGCCGTCCAAGAGTCCGTGGGCATCCCCCGTGGTGTTAGTGAAGAAAAAGGATGGGACCCTACGTTTCTGCGTCGACTATCGCCACCTGAACAAAATCACACGAAAGGACGTGTATCCTATCCCACGAATAGACGACGCACTTGATCGGCTCCATAACGCCAAGTACTTCTCGTCAATGGACCTCAAGACTGGCTATTGGCAAATCGAAGTCGACGAAAGAGACCGAGAGAAGACGACGTTTATAACACCGGATGGCCTCTTCGAGTTTAAGGTGATGCCCTTCGGCCTTTGCTCAGCGCCTGCAACTTTTCAACGCGTTATGGATACAGTACTGGCAGGATTGAAGTGGCAGACTTGCCTTGTGTACTTGGACGACGTCGTCGTGTTTTCCTCGAGTTTCGACGAGCATCTTCGGCGCCTTGAAGCTGTACTTCAAGCCATCAAGACGTCCGGACTCACACTGAAGCCAGAAAAGTGCAGATTTGCGTATGAGGAGCTCTTATTTCTGGGGCACGTTATCAGCAAGTCTGGAGTTCATCCCGATCCACGGAAAGCAGCCGCCATCGCCGACTTCCCGCCGCCCACTGACAAGAAGGCCGTGCGCCGATTTCTGGGCCTGTACGCCTATTATAGGCGGTTCGTGAAAAACTTCGCCCGCATCGCCGATCCTCTCACTAACCTTACCAAGGCCGACTCGGAGTTCAAGTGGGAAACGCCACAGGAACATGCTTTCCAGGAGCTTAAACATCGCCTCCAGACGCCTCCGTTACTTGCCCATTTCGACGAATTCACCGAGACAGAAATACATACTGACGCAAGCAGCGTAGGTCTTGGCGCCGTTCTTGTGCAGAGGGCTGATGGACTTGAAAGGGTTATTAGTTACGCCAGCTGATCGCTATCCAAAGCAGAAGCAAATTATTCCACAACAGAAAAGGAGTGCCTCGCCATCATCTGGGCTACGTCGAAATTTCGCCCCTACCTCTATGGCAGGCCCTTCAAAATTGTGAGCGACCACCACGCCTTGTGTTGGCTAGCCGCCTTGAAGGACCCTTCAGGTCGCCTCGCACGATGGAGCCTGAGACTTCAAGAATATGACATTACTGTCATTTACATGTCCAGCAAAAAAACACTCCGACGCTGACTGTCTCTCTCGCTCGCCTGTCGACCAACCGCTACCCGGCGACTCGGATGGCGACTACTTCTTGGGAACGATAACTACCGACGACTTCGCTGAACGACAGCGGGCCGACCCGGAACTTAAAGTCACTAACAGAATACCTCGAAGGCAGGACCGCCGAAGTCCCGAAGGTATTCAAGCGCGCACTTGCGTCGTTCTTTCTACGAAACGGTCTTCTACAAAAGAAAAACTTTTCACCGCTTCGAGCTAAGTACCTACTTGTGGTGCCTTCAGCTCTGCGACCAGAACTCCTGCAGGCCCTGCACGACGATCCGACGGCAGGGCACCTCGGTGTTTCCCGCACGCTCGCGAGGATACAAGAAAGGTACTACTTGCCACGTCTTACCACCGACGTCACTCGTTATGTGAGGACATGCCGGGACTGTCAGCGACGCAAGACGCCGCTGACAAGGCCAGCGGGACGTCTGCAGCCAATTGATCCACCTTGCCGACCTTTCCAGCAGATTGGTATGGACCTACTGGGGCCGTTCCCGACGTCGGCTTTCGGAAACAAGTGGATCGTGGTAGCTACCGACTGCCTCACCCGCTACGCCGAGACAAAAGCCCTGCCAAAAGGCAGTGCATCCGAGGTAGCTAAGTTCTTCGTCGAAAATATCGTCCTACGTCACGGCGCCCCGGAGGTCCTTATCACCGACGGAGGAACGGCATTCACTGCCGACTTAACTCAAGCGTTCTTGGCATACAGCCAAACAAACCACCACCGGACGACAGCGTACCACCCACAGACCAACGGCCTCACCGAGCGGATTAACAAGACGATCGCCGACATGCTGTCAATGTACATCGATGTCGAACACAAGACGTGGAGCGCCATTCTTCCGAATGTGACCTTCGCATACAGCACGGCGGTGCAGGAGACGACGCAGATATCTCCATACAAATTGGTCTACGGAAGGAGCCCGGCAACTGACGCTCGATGCCAGGTTACCCAACGTCACCGACAAAGAAAACCTCGATGTGAGCGAGTACCTTCAACGCGCCGAAGAAGCCCGACAACTTGCGCGTCTCCGTATCAAGAATCAACAGACGACCAACAGCCACCGTTACAACCTTCGATGACGCTTCGTGGAATACCAGCCCGGTGAACGTGTTTGGGTGTGGACGCCGATACGCCGACGTGGACTAAGTGAAAAGCTTCTGCGACGGTACTTCGGACCGTACAAGGTGGTTCGACGTCTCGGCCCACTTGATTACGAGGTTGTCCCCGACGGCATCACGAACTCTCAACGACGCCGATCGCGACCTGAAGTCGTCCATGTCGCGCGCCTCAAGCCGTTTCATGCACGTTAACAAACTGAAACAGTGTTTTTTGTATTATTGCTGTATTGTAATTTATTCATTGTACTTTCTTGCATCATTATTGTACCTTCATCTTTAGTTAAAGCATCGGGACGATGACTTTTTTCAGAGGGGGGCAATGCCACGTTCCATTTCACAAGTTTTTGTTATCGTTCCGAAACACCACACGATTCTCGGCGCAAACCGCGCCTGCAGGTTTCGAGAAGGTTCCGGACTGTAGTAGATCATTTCGATAAGATCACGCCCACTGTGCGAACGGTACAGATTGTTCTGGAACCTACGCCACCGCCAGCGATAACGCTAGAACATTCGACGGCAAGGGTATAAATGCCGACGCGCTTCGCCGCTTGTCAGTTGTTGATCGAAGGCCGACGCTGCGTTAGCCGCTATCAGTCCGAGACTGCTATCTGTGCAAGACTGCTGCTGTAATTAGACTTTCCCTTTACCGGGCACAGGTTCGCCCAAATAAACAGTTAAATCCCAACACGAAGTTTCCTGTCTTTGGCCACGTCACGACCTCGTGACAATATTATATTCGTATTGAAGCTGGTCTCGTCATCTAATTTTGAAACCTCAATATTTTTTGCGCAGGACTCCAACTCAGGCATGCATGTCTTAATCCGTCTCTTTTAGAGCAATGTTCCTAATGGCAACAACAAAAAAATATAAAACATGGAAATGAGAGGTACACTAACACAAAGTGCCTCGTGTCACTCGCACAGTTGCTCATATCGTGTGGTGGCCTTGAACGATCTTGTAAGGTTGAGAAAAGCACGCTTCACATTCCGCTGCAATCGCTGCAGCTCACTGAAGCCTGGCACTCGGTGTCCCATCGTGGAAGCTGCTGCTGTGCGCTACGAGTCAATATTCAATCGCGCCGAGTGCCTGCGCAACTCTGCCCAGGTGAGCCCACGAGCATGTTGCAGGAACTTTACTCAAGACTATATATAAAGCTCCACCTAATCTTAGGTAATAGACTACCTGGTCCTGCTCAACTTGATATGCTAGTGGTGATTAGTGATTTGTCTGGAAAAACTTTTCCCTAACCTGCAAAAAGTTGAGAGACAATAATTTGTAACTTGCGTGTTTTCGTACGTTTATAGAGCACATCAATCAAAATTAAACTACAGCAATACACTTGTCATACTATTGTTGTCCCTTCTCATTGAGAGTGGCCGTATTTTTTGGCCTAAGCCCCGAATTCCATGCTTTGTATTTGCTTCACCATTCAGTTATACTAACGTTATTTATTTTGACCAAGGTATGACAAACACGATGCCCCTTTATTTATTTCATGAAGGTGATAAAAACCAGTTTGCGGCCCAACTTACTATATCACACTTTTATCTTGCGCGCAGTGGCTGTTTACGTCCATGCTTTTGCACATGCTTGCAGGCCGTGGAAGCGTACCGTCAGAAAAGCATCGGTTACCTGAGCCACCTGGTGGTGACGCTGCTCGGGGCGTGCGAAAGCTTTCCCGAGCCGCTCATGGACGAGCACTGTGAGTGTAGTTTTCTACAATGAAGCTGCATACGGCTAAGATGAGGGCAGTGTGAAGGAAGCCTTGCTTCCTTAGGCTCGCCGAGATAGCGGTGGTCATCCTAGAAGGAACACGCTGAAGTTAAAGAACCTTAGCTGCTACTACCACGCCGGGCGTGCGAATAGTTCACAATTAATAACATAATAATAAAAAAACTTTTTCCGCTAGGGCGAAGCTATGAATGTTATAGCCCCAGCTTGTAACGTAAAGCTGAGAATAGCAAGCAGATTGAAACGCACTGCGCGCTGATCATTTACAAATAACGCATAAAAATAACACATACTAGACGAGAGCCAACTAACAGCGTTTAAAGCTCGACACTTAACGCTCCGTTTAAACACAAACGAGGCATGAAACGTGATCACCGGTACATTATGAGTGTGAACTAACAATTACGCCAGCTTTTACTTCACTGTCTTTAAAAAGTGCGCTCTTTTCGCAAGCGGGCCTGTCCAGCGAGCGAAGTGATCTTTGTGCGCCCGGCAATTAAACGCAATCGTTCCAGTCAAAGCCGAAAGCGTGTGATTCTCCCTCACCGCAGGATAAGTGCGCAAATAAGGCCCCACTATCTCGGTGCATCGCGGCGAGCACGGAGAAAGGAAAGGTAGGGGAGGGAATATCCAGCCGGCCAACGTTTCTAGACTTGGTAAGTTGCGAAACTCCCCACGTTTCACTACTCATCACACGGCGCAGGAACAGCTTCCGGTTCGGTGGCACTGGCAGCGCAACAAGCTTCCGCTAGCCGACGAAAACGCGTAGTCGTCGTGGCAAGACGCCGTGGCGGCCGTTCTGAAAGAGCTTTTCCAACAGTATATTATCGTGATTTGTTGATGCTGCCGCAGAAACTTAATACTGCGTAATATTTAGCGGTGTAGGGCAAATACAGTATAATTATGGTTTCCTGAACTGCCCACAACGAACAACGCTTGATATATATAACATACGAGTCTGTCGGTTAGTTGCTAGTTGTTGTACGTTCGCAATAGATTTTTAGACGCAAAAAACCCAATTACAATGTCTCGTATTCTCTTTTGTGGCTGTGTTTTTCGGGCTTGAAAATAAATAACAACTATGTGGCACAATCTCGTGGCTTTTGTCTGGTTATGTAGTCAGCTTTTTGTTTTCATGTCCGTCACAATCTTTAGCAACTTAGACCGTCGAAAAGCAACGCGTGCGGCCATTTTCTTCAGCATGTCTTCCCTCTGCTTCTTCTGGAGTTCCTCTAATGAAACCCGTTAACACAGCTGCAGCCAAAGCTTCGAGCCGAGAACGCACATTGGGGTATCGGTGAGCACTTCGTAGTCATCACTCACGAGTCTGCCTGCTGACGCATTAGGACAACATGAACACAGTTGCAGCTTTTCTATGTCCTCCAGAAGTTCTGCCCATTGGATGATGGTATCTGCATTGCCAGGCGACTTGGCTAAGAGATGGTGACGGCTGCTAATGATGACTGTCATGTCTTCTGCGACGACAACGTATTTATCCACAAATAGCGCTTTTTTTTCTTTGAGCCCTAGAAACACCACAAGACAAGACGTCTTGTGGTGTTTCTCACCATTTTTAACATCTTTCCGCCAGCATGCAAACAAGCGTTTTCTATGTCTTGAAGCGAAATGACGCCACTAGTTCACGGCATGTCGGGGACTTCTTTCGCTGTCTTCTAGCACAGTGCTCGGAGATAGTCTTTTTTTTGCCTATTATATTCTGGAAAATACCACACTCCTATCGGGCAGCTTTCGCTTCTTTGTCGCGGGCCCCGCGACAAATGTAAGAGGGCGAATTCGGGAATATTCGTGGAACGCATCTTTCGACGTGGCTCACTTTCCTCTTGCGATTTGTACCTTCTTACCATATGACGTGAGTGAAAGTCTTCAGGATGTCCTTCTAATGAAAGGGCATATCACACACAAGTGAGGTGCTGGACAGTTTCTTATCCGCACGACGAATAACGTGGTGCCATACCTCTCGCTGCTCAGGTACAGGTGGGCACAAAATAAATGTCGTGGTGTCTCTCATTTCCTGTAGCTACTCTACAGGCGAGAACGCAACATCTGGGCATGATGAAAACACGCAACACATACAAAGCAGAACAGGGTGCGCTGAAGCACAAAACTGTTCACGCAGAAAGAAGCCTCCACAGATATTAACGCACTGCAACATGCACAGGCGATGGAGGTTACGGGATTGACACGAGTGAGCTAGGTGTTCTGTGAGCGAGCATGCAGTGAGTGAATCTGGATGCGACAGCGCCACATTTGTCGCTGGCAGCGGCGGCGCCGCGCAACATCGCTCAGTTTTGCAACTTACCTAGTCTAGAAACGTTGCAGCCGGCGCGTTGCGCGAAAAGTGTGGAGGAAATAATATCATAGCAGCCATATTCACTGGGCACAATGGCGGCGTTGCTATGATTACGTGTTGCTCAGTAGAGCCGGTCTAGCAGTGAGCGGCCGCGGCTGGCGGTGGCATGTGTGCCTCCCCAGGTCTCGTGCTGAGCCGTGGCGGACAATATCCATGCTCTGCGCCGCGTTATTGGTTACGTAGTGTTCTCTTGGCAGTTACTCTATTCTTAGCAACGTTTACAAATCCTTTTGTCCATCAAGGGGCTTCAACAGTGCGTAGGACGAGTGCATATCAATGTGTCGTGCGGCGGGTGCCGCGGATGAAGCAATTAGTGTTTAGCGGAATTGCATTGGGCACCATGACGAAGCGGAACGACGACGAACGCCTTGCAGGTCAGCGACGGTTGGGCAGTGCTCCTGCTTGTGACAATAGGACGACACAGCTAAGCCCAGCAAGACACAATGAGGACCATGTGCACATACGTACTTTCGTGTTGTGTGTGTACAATAACAACTTGCATGTGCGTATTAAAGCACCTTTTCTGTTCCACTTCGTATACTTTCCCCCAGCATTGCATGTAATCTCAGCGTAACAGCAACCGCGTTCAGGTGTCACTTGCACCGTGCTCAGTCACGACGGTCGCAGAATGCTGACGTCGGCGAGTTTCACGCGGAACACGGACACAGTGGCTGGACGCTGCGTCGGCCGCGTGGAGGAATGCAACCGTAGAAGGCGCACGACCACTCGTGTTGTCTGTGCAGTTGCTGAATTAATTACGCGAAAACACTCGCCGTTGTGAGTGCATCAAGCGCGCGTTCTCTTGCACTTGCTTCGTTGTCGTTGAGCTGTTACTCCCTGGTAATACTCGGACGAAATGATTTTGCCGAAGGTGTCGCACTGGCCCAGCGTGGTGAGCTCCGTTCCATTCGTTTCGGATCGTCACGACACGCGCGCTGCGCAGATTATGTGCTTTCCGAGCCGGAGAGAGAGTCGTGCCTTCTACTCACATTCGGATGTAAACAAGAGAGTACAAGTTGCCCAGTCAATGTGGCCGACTTGCGGCTTCATCGCAGCTTCACAACGAGTGACGTCAGGGCCTCTCCTACCTTTTCTTCCTCCGTGGCGGCGAGCTGTGCGCCAACCTTTACTCTGAGCTAAAGTCCCTCTATCTACGACCTTACTCTGAGCGCGCTCGTTGCGCCACCTTGCTGGTAAGGCTGGAAACACGCTATTTCTCCTACGGGCTCCGAGATTGCGGGCGCATGATTGGTTTCTCCCTGGCCATCCCAATCGTACGGAGAGCACATGTTTCTAGAGGTGGGCGTGGCCCGCTGTTTTTTCGCATGGCGGAGCTCTTTTTTTCAGTCGAAAAGACTGCCCCGCTGTTGGTAAAATTTTTATGTGGCAAGGAAAAAATGGTTTCGCGCTTTTATATAACTTTGTGCTCATTTAGAAATGTTGAGCCAAGGTGTACGAGAGGCGAAGTCAATGCTTGGGCGTATATATTCTCCAATTGACTTGTTTTGCTGTAGACTTGCGCCACCCATATTAGAGCGCTTATAGTTGCGATACCTCCGCAAGAGATCCGGATGTGCTGGAAAGTTACAGTACTTCGAAGTTTGGAGGTTGTATAGTAGAGAGGGCACTAGCAAAAAAAAAAAAAACTGACAGCGTAATCAACAAGTGAATTCAGAAGAGTACTACGCTTTATTCCCATGGGTTACACTCGATGAAAGGGGTTGACTTTTCTTTCCTTGAATCAGCGCTGCTCTTCATTATAACGCTATTTAAAGAATCTTCCTACCGAGCCGCAGAAGCAGGATACAGGGAGGAGGGTGCAGTGGCTGTCATGCGTCTAGACTATGTCAAGACTTAACGTCACCAGTTCTGCGACGACCACTGGCTGGTTACGGGCATGTTTTAGTCATCTATGGCCCTGTAAATTTTAGGGTGTTCAATGAACACGTTGGACAATGTAAAAACGAACATCAAAATGCTTTGCTTGTAGTCTACTTCAGCGAATACTTAGTTGTCATTAGAAAGACGCTATTTTGCTACATGTTTGACCCTTGGATTTGTATGCAGTCGAGAGTACTGATATTGCTATTGTGTGACCAAAACATAATCATAGTTCAGATGATAAAAAAGAGACGATCACAACTCAGGCACCTTCAGGGTTAAAACGTGGGGTGTAAATGTAGGTTGGCTAATCGAAGCCTTCTACAATATTCTGGCAAAATTACTCTTCACGTACCTTACTTCAATGACATGAACTGGACACTCAGTCACCTAGAGCGTAACTGCGATTCGGTTGACCACCTCATAAATATTCGTGTGTGATATAACAGTAAAATTATGAGACAGGATTCCAGAACAATATAATCAACTACGATAATTAGCCCAGTTTTTCCTATAGAAGTTTCCAGATAGGAGGAATGCTAGAATGCCTCTATATTTCTTAAACCGAGGTGTTTAGCAGCAAGCCGGAATGGACCGTAATGAAAAAAAGTAATACTGCCACAGACGAATTAATACCTCCTTACAATTACTTATCAGGAAAATCCTGCAGTTTCCGTGCTTTTCTTCGTAAATGGGACCTAAATAAATGCAGTAGCGAAAAAAAAAATACCTTCCTTCAGTTCAACCAGAAGATTCTGGCGGTGATTCTTGCTCGTAAGCGAAAAAAAAAATGCGCCGACTGGAATCTCATGCGCTTTGCTGTCTGCCATGGTGTCCGCCGAAAAATACTTTTCTTCTGTTCATCCAGAAGATTCTGGTGATGATCCTTGCTCGTACGTGGGAAAAAAAGAAGAAAAAAAACACGTGCACGCTGGAATCCCATGCACTCTGCTGTCAGCCGCGGTGTTCGCCGTTGCCAGAATCCGCGCCCTCTCGCGGTATCCAGGCGCGCAAGGCGATACTGGTCCATTTTGCTGAGGAGCGCGGTGATTGGAACAGCCGGAGAGAAACGCGCGCGCGCCCGCTATCTCGGAGGCCATGTTTCTCTCGTGGTAGCTTGCCGTTTCAACGTTGAAGGAGGTAGTTCGTGACTCAGCGGCTAACGCCACGCGCTCAAGAATGAAAGGTCGGGTGTTCGATTCAGCACCCCGAAGTCTTTTTCTGGATCATTTTTGTTGCTTGCGTATTCATATATATAGATCACGTACATATACAGTGCATGACGCCGACGCCGGCGGCAACATCCAGCCGAGACACTTCATATAATTGCTATCGTATTAAAAAGGTTCCGAGTCCCTAGAGCCCTCATGTCTTAATACAAAAAAAGATACATAGTCCATAAAGCAAGTCTCACCAGCAATGCATCTGTGTGAAAAAAGAAGCCGACTTCAAACCTTTTGGACACGGATCAAGATTGATGACGCCTAAATAGAATAAACATACATAATTTCATGCGGAAGTTGTGTACACCTATACTCAAACAAAGTATTAGATAATAATAAACTACAGAAAATTTTATAGCATTTTGTAAAAGAAAAATTTTCTACTCCTTCGACAGTCAATCATGCTGTAGCTATTCCGTTCAAGAACAAAATCAACAACCGATTGAAATTAGATACGATATATCGGTACATTCAAATTAGATCGGTATCTAATCGCTGCAAGCGTTCAAAAATTGTAGAAAAAAACTGAGTTCCGCCAAAGCACTGTACGTCCACCGTCTCTTTATACATTGTACGGCATTCAGCAAAGCGGTTGTGTCTAGCAAAGTATCTCAACGAAAAGTGAATCAAACTAACTTTAGGCAAGAACAATAATCAGTTTACAATCAGTTCAGTGTTTTTGGTCGTCTTTGCCAATACTACACTGAAGTGGCAGAAGTGAGTTGGGTCTTCAAATGAGGACACCGAATCGCAAAAGGTTTATTTGACCGGTATAAGCTTTATTATAGCATGCCAGTACTCATTGGCGGCATGGTGCCTTATGCGTACTTAGAAGCACAAAGATACAAGGGTAAAAAGACGCGTTGACAAGAGAGGGCTTGACAGTTGAATACCAGTATGCTAAATCACAAGGTTTATAAATTGATTAGTAAGAGGTGAATGAACATTAAAGAGTAACGTGTGAGATCATTCTAGACCTCATGCAACGTGCCTTGTTATTAGTACATTTTCTTACTTCGAAGTTTGGAAGCTGGCTCCCATAACGTCGTTCCCCACATCCTGTGGTGCAGAGAACCCTACTGATGAAGCGAGCAATCACCTACGCTGAAGTACAGTGACATAACTGAAACCGGCAGGGTTTGGGTGCAGCGTCCCGTACAAAAAGGCTTAAAGAGATGAACTACAAAAACTTTTCTGTCCTCTATCTCTCCTAACGTTTTTGTGCTTGGCGCTGCATGCCCAGGCCCTACAATGAAATACCAGCTAATCTGAATTGACATTCTTGAAACCAGGAGATCGCGAGTAGCGCATTCTGTTTCTACTCTGCAGCAGCTATGGGAAGGACCGCGCATATACATGAAGAAGTGTAAAAAAAAAGACGTAATGCTAAAAGCCATCATTGGGTATAATTTGAGTTTAATCGCTTAATGTGCGCCTCAATGGCACTGTGGTAGCCCATGTGTCTCTGCACACTCTGTGCATCGTTTTGAACTTTGATGGACATGCTCACAACCTGTTCTTTCATATCAAAGTGGTATCCGCCATGTTACTTAATGTGGTATGCTACGCAGCTTCGTTGGGCATCTAACTGAACAGACTCACATTTGTTCCTAAATCTGTCGGCATAGTTTTCTTTCAGGCAGTGCGGGCAAAAAATCTTAAAGTAGCTGCTACCAGTAGAATGGTTGAAACAGCATTGGAGCGAATTTAACCGCATGTATTTTCCTAAACTTCTTCCTTTGGTTTGTAAAGCTCGTCATTTTAGGATTGAAAATTTGTTCTTTCTGCAGATCACGCTGCTTTATCAATTTAGGCACAATCGGACCATACACTCCTCAGCAGGGGCGTAGGAATTTCGGCGTTTAGAATCGATTAAAAAATTTTGCCAATGAAGAGAGAAGCAGCTTGTTAGTATTCAGGGAAACTAAAGCAGAGTAATGACTGACGACCAAATCAAGAAGTCAGCAAAATTCACTTGCTCATTGTGATCACAATTTTAAGCTTAACGGCAACATCCTTACAGTAACCCTTGGCTAACATTTGCGGGAAGCTTAGTAAAGTTCAGTACTTCTTGAAAGTTCATGCGGCAATGTGTCACAGTTCATCGTTTATTCTGTGCGCAGATATCCTGCGCATTACCTCTAAACCGAAGAAAAACGTACTGCTCGCCAACTCACCATGGGGTCTCCTTCGAGGCCTGGAAACCTTTTCTCAGCTTGTATACGGCCTTTCCAGTGACCTTGTAAGTGTACTGCTGCTTGGTTTATTGGCTCGTGAGGAAGCTGTGGAGTCGGGGCGATGTACACTCCCACTATATACCTGTGGTTTGCCGTATGCTTTTATATATAGTACGAGACAAGAAGCTGACGTCACAAGGTGACTTGTGTTAAAAATACAGATATACTTAAAATAATAGAAGCGGAGTAGAGGTACTTCCCGATAAGAGAAACAGCAGAAGCAGTTGCGAACATTTGTTAAGTGAAAAGTATAACGGGGCGGTTTGCAGGTGTGGGGTTCTCATAGACCTTGGTTAAACATAGGATTTCATGTAGTTAAAATTCTACAAATATATGTTTTCTCTTACCTTCGGTAAGGCCTATCACAAATAAACATATTTAAGCGGATGTCAGCAGGTAATCACTTGGCTAAAAGCTTGTCGAGGATTTCAGTCACATCAGAAAATTTTTAGGCTTAGCGGTAACGATAATATTTCCATTTCTGTCTTCAAGATATCTGAAACCAATGCTGACGATGATATTGACCAAGTGAAATTTATAGTAATTTTCCTTTTCACAGTTCACAACGAAACTCTCGCGAACTGTTAACGTCACCTGCCAGACTGACAAACATTCAGCGCCTGCATGAGGTTTTATTTGGCATGAAGGGGTTGCATAAGCTATTACATAATACACAGCTGTCTACTGCATGCGGACCGGATGGTGTTCCGGCAGCTAATTTTCAAAATTGTGTTGGGAAATTGTTTTTACTCCTTCTGTTCACTTATAAATGATTATATGCAACTTCAATGAAGCATGATTGGAAGCTGGCACATGTTGCATCAATTTACAATTGTGGGTCGGAAAATGCACTGTAAATGTAGAGGCCAGTGTGTTTGACGAGTATAACATATCAACTAACTGACAACGTAAGTTACACTTCGATCATGTCATATTTAGCAAAAAAACAAAACAACCTTTTGCGCTCTTATCAGCGTGGTTTTCGACAAGGGCATTCATGCTTTGCCCAAACGGTCAGATTTTTTCACGTTTAGGCTTCAGCAACATATAAAGCGCCAATAAGAGATTGCATATTCCTGGATTTCAGAATAGCTTTTGTGGCGCAAAATTTCAGTGGCGCACAATCTTGTAATTTCAGAACTTCGATTGTAGAAGCTGGACGATAGTATGGGTTGCCGAATATCTCCGTTCAAGGTGGCAGTCTGTGCTGCTCAATGGTTTCTCTTTTGCATACGCTCCAGTAATTTTATGTGTTCCGCAGAGATAAGTTCTCGGTCCGCTTTCGTTTCTTTTTTTGTTGTAACGACATCCCAAAAGACGTCAAATGTTTATTTTGAGCGTTGGCGGATGGCTGTGCAATCATAGAGTTAGACATAAAGTGGCATTACCTTACTTCAGGATGATGTGGACGTAATAGTATCAAGTAGCGATAAAGAGTAAATGTCCTTATATATACAGAAATTCGCTCACGCCTTCTTTTCAAGAAAACGTGGATTTTGGTCTTACACATATACAATGAATAGGATCACCTAAAAATGCGGAAAAATATCAATATCTTGGTAATTTTATATCTTCTGATTGAGGGTGAAATAGGCACATTTCGCACTATAAGAATAAGGCAATAAGTCCGCTGAGTTTTATTCACCGTAATTGAGGTCAGTAACCAGAAAAATTAAAATAGCAGCTGTATTTTACGTACATTCTCAGTGTACTGCATTACGGGTCTGTATGATAGAATCGAACGCAGCTGTTCTCGCGAAGAAGTTTGAAAAGGTGCGAAGTAGGATAGTAAGGTTTGTTCTACAACCATAGTAGAACCCTATGCATGATGAAAAGCAGACGTAACTTATCATGGCAGGCTTTGAAAATTAGGTGGGAAAACCTAAGACTAAAATGTTTTTACGGTGTTTGTCATTATAAAACTGCCATTGAGCATGAAACACGTACCTAGTTGCACACATATGTGTTGTTGAGTCGTGACCACGCACCGAAATTTCGTAAATTTCTTTTGAAAGGTGAAGTGTTCAGGCATTTTTTTTTCACTTGCCTTTGGAGAGTGAAATGGTCTATCGCCTGATATTGTGAGCACTTTGAACAATTAGGTGTTTTACTACACTTTGTGCGTGGAATTACCTAGTTCCCTTTTTACCGTAACCTCTCCTTCTGCCGTAATGCTCTTTGGGTGACGTAGGTATGTAATCTATGAATATAAATAAATAAATAAATAAATAGGCATATTTACGAATGATTCTATTTTCAGGTGCGAAAGCAATTGTGTCAGCAGCACAGCACTCGATAAAGCTTTTCTTTAAAGAGCGTGTAGTACATTGAGAAAACGTTTTCTCTACAGTCTCGTGGTCTAGATTGAATGAAAGCGCTATTTCACCAGAAATCTCTTTAATACTTTAGAGAGTAGAGTATGTTCTATTGAGGCACAAAGTTGGGAGAGTTTTTTTATGCACACTATGGGAAAGAAGCGAACAATGACAATCAAGGTGAACGACTTGAAGATAACTTCTTAAGTTGACTTGAATGATTTGCTTTTTATTTACACTCATCTGCAGTTCGCTGTCAATAGCACCTACATACGGGACTACCCACGTTTCCCTCACCGTGGCCTCCGGATCGACACTTCGCATCATTTCCTCTCCCTGAGAGCCATCAAGAGAACGCTGGTGGGTGCTGTGATAATCTGGTGCTGTGATATAAATAGAACGAACGACAAGGTTGTGTGAATTAGGGAGTTTTCGAATAAGGGCCCCAAATGTGTGGGGCCCCAAAGCGCTTTGCGTATGAACGCTTTGGGTCAAGCAGAAGAGATGAGTTTTCGAATAGGGTCTGTGGCGCTTGGGACACTACCCCTATTTCGTGTCACTTTAGTTTTGGCTGAGAGCTGTCACTTCAACGGTTTCCGTCACGTTTGTCTGACCCAAAGCTTTTGGGGCAGGTTTGGGGCTCCCGCTCAATTAAAAAAATAACGTCGCCAACCAAAACCTAAACGCGATTTGGGCCTTGCGCAGTGACCTTGACACTCAATCTTTGGGACCCGAAACATTTGGGGCCCCTATTTGAAAGCTCCCTCTTAATAATACACGACGCTAGGGTGCACAAACCTGCTTCTTGCTTTTAATGAAAGAAAGAGAGAAAGAAAGAAGGAAAGAAAGAAATAAAAGGCTATGTAGGACACAGAAACGATAGTCCTTATGTGTGAAATTCGAAAACATAACAAAAAATGTTCACAAAAACATTTAAACAGCTACAGCTATCGACTATACGTGAAAACTTGTATCTCCAAAGGGACACTGAAGATAAACAATGAATTAAATTACTTCGGTAACTCACGTTCTAAAATTCTGATGACGTCAATTTCGCTATCATGCATTCATTGATACCGGATAAATGAAGGCTAAAGGAGCACTTTTCAATATCGGACTAAAATTTCCACGCGCGACGTCGCGTACGTTAAAGTACTGTTATGCCGACATCGGCTGAACAAAATTTTCAGAAACAAGATAGGTATTTCCAGTCTCTGGCACCACCTGAGGGCGTCCTATTATACGCAGCGGCTGAACGAAATTGCCAGAAACAAGACATTTTAAGTCTCTGGCACCATCGAAGCATGCCCTAATATACGCGGTCGAAAGTTGTAATGACACGGTAATTGGCGCTAGAAGTTCAAGGTGGCGTCACCGCCATCATTTTCTTATTGAGTGTTCTATCGCTTGCCAAGCGTGTTCTCTCGGCAAGCGTGGTGATTTTTGCATTGCGAAAGAGTAATTTACTCTGATGGGTGACATCATTTTTCTGTTTAGTGTCATTCTTAATTTCTCTGTTCAAACCGACGCAGGACGCCATGGTGATGAACAAGATGAACGTGCTGCAGTGGAAAATGGTTGGAAACGACTCGTTTCCGCTGAGGATGACCAGCCTGCTCGAGCTGAGCTCCAAGGTGAGCACAGAGATGTGTGAATACACTGCACTTCAGTAAAAAGCAAGAAGCAGAGTGTACTGCAGGCACGTTCGCTTCAGGTATGAAACTGTATAGTATTCTGAAGCTGCTGCATGGTATCACTGCCTATGAGCCAAAAAGAAAATGAAAATAATGAATTTCACGTGTTATTTGGCAATTAGCGTTTCTGAGAACACATAGTCTGGCTCTTTGTCTCCTTATCATTCCCGTTTATTACCATGTATAAATTTGTCCTTTGCTTAAATGAGCAGAGAAAGTAAATTTTGCTCAATACAAGACAGAAACATTGTTGCTTTATGATGTGTAACGCCAAAAGTTTCCGAAAGATGCCGTGAATGAAAGAATAAAACGTAGAGGGCTTGTTACTGTTTATTTGACACAACCTAGTGAGCACTAGTAGATTATTATTGCAATGAAGACGTACGGTTAATTAAGTTTACTTTTTCAGGTGTATTGTTCTGATTTCGATATACAGGCGGATATAGTAACGTGAACACAAAGACAACCTCCCACCTTCAAGGACTGAATTTATGACCTTTGAATTACCGACCCAATGTCAACTTAGCTACGGCCAGCTGCTAAAGAAGATAATGTTCTACACTCGCCGTCATGTGTACGAGCAGTAAAGACTAATACTTCTGCGTTCGCGTGCACGTAAATGGACCTCACAATGTGGATGAGCATGCGACCGCCACTGTGGCTGAACTGCTAAGGGACTACTAGGGAACTGCTAAGGGCAATTGAGCTGTATTTTCGATTTTCGTCTACTTGAGTTTCTTCACTTCTTCATCAAAATTACTATGAAGGACTTTTCAAATAGTGCAATATACGTCCTAACCAAAAAGACAATCGACATCATCGGACGTTGAATTCTTTATTAGTAAACAGATTCAAGAGCAAAGACTATTAGATTGATTTCGAAAATTGCATTATTCTTGGCCTAACATATCTCAGGGTGTTTTGATTTCTGTGCACTCCACAGTCTGACAAAGTTGATATATGTCAATTGGAATACGAGCTAACAAGAGTGTCAACCGCAGAATTTTCCGTTACATTGCTTGTTATCTAATTTCTCTTGCTGTCTTATCTCAAAATACAACACCTATATTGTTGCGTTGCATCATTCGCGTTGTGGCTAACTGCTCGAGTATAATTTTTTCCATTCGATACTGCTGCGTCATATGTTAATAATACTCAGAACGCAATGGTTTCCGATTCGTTACAGCAATAAACTGCCATTTATCAAGAAATAATTAGAGGAAATTAAAGAATATGTAGCTATAATAAAACTTAGGGTGTTGCACTTCTGTGTGCCTTACCATTACCAGTCCTTCAGTACGGCGTTCCCCTACGACACGGTGTACAGAGAAACTGGCCATGAATTTTGGGAACCCGAGGTGTTCTTTAACGTTGTGGTAATCGACAAGACCCTCTGCTTTGGTGTTTGTCAGTAAATCTCTCTGGAGTCTTTATGGGAGCTCAGCGCGGTGCCATACCCAACATGGCGTGTGTTCGAACAGTCCGAGAACAAACGTCTGCTCCTCTACTCCTCTTCGTCTTTCAGTTTGTGTCGCGTCCGATTTCCTACATCCTACGCCGCAACGATTTCACTAACCTCTAACAGGCAGCCTTTAACTAACCTTTAAAAGGCAGCCTTTAACTAACCTTCAACAGGCAGCTTTTAACAGTCCATTACGTTCTTTCTCAAATTCTCCCCACAACGATTAGCGCTCAGCTACGGTTTTCCCGTTATTTGCACGAGCATAGGAAAGCCTTAAAATAACATATCTCAACGTCATCTACGTCAGTTTATCACTAACTGTCTTGAACATTACAACCTTATCGGAATATAAAACTATGCGTGAAAAAAAAACGGGAAGCCGTCAGAGATGCGTTATTCCTGTGTCACTGGGCAGTTATGCACAGCTCTAATAGACACACGTTTAACGATTGCAATATAAGCTTTTACGGTAGAGTATTCTCCCACGAACACAGACAGAACACTGTTGACGTTGTTGACTTCACAGCTGCGACCGGGACACCCTATCTAAGGTGTTGTTGCTGTTGAGACAGCATTGAGTCGAAATTTCGAGCACACACCACATGTCTTGAGCACTTCCTGACCCCACTGGCCCTGTCGAAGTAGCTCAATTGTCACGTAGCTCCTCGATATGATCAATACCACGATCATGAAGAATGTTCTAGCAGACGTCATGCGAAATAAGGTGTGTGCATCACTCGTCTGGGTGCCGCAATGTGTGACCTTTCACCTTGCCCATAGTAGTTGTGATGGCGACAAAAGGTTAGGCACAAACAGTCTCGGTCATCAACTGCCTTTGAAAGCTCGTCCTTAAGGAACTGAAATTATTTATACGAAGAGGCGCAAAACGCAACTGAAGTGCTTGTTGTGTACCTGTTTCGTGAATAACTTCTTCCAACTTGCTATCAGCGGTGATTTCTTCGACACGTCTGTGCTTGTGTTGCTTCGTGGGATTGCCGTAATGTTCAATGACTTTTTTCTTCGTTTTGTCGTTATGTTCAATGTTGACATCAAGATTGTCAACCAAGTTGCGCTCCTCAGATGTCCTTGATAGCGCAACTTCAACGCGACCCTGTTGGAAATTGTAAATTTCGCTGAAATTTCTCACATCGATGTCTTCTCGCTTCAGGCTCGTTTCTTCAACATATGTACAGTCTCAAGGGCATTAAGCTCCGAAAACCGTTGTAATAAAAAAGGGGGTCCTTCTTCCTGTGCACACGTGTTCGTAAGACGCATATATGACCACCTGCATACTGTCTGCATTGCTCCTCAACGGATGATGGTTCTTGGAGAGTCCACCCCATTTTTGTTCTGATGGCGATTAACGCTCTGTTATCCAAGACCCACCGGACTGAGCTGTTATTTGGCATTAAATATCGCAACTGGTCGAATCTAATTAGAAGACTTACTCCGGGTTAACCGGTTACGCTTGAAGAAACAACTGCATACAGCAATGGTTGACCTTCTGCAACGATGACTTCGTGAAGTTTATTTGTCTTTGAAGATTGGCTGATGTCGTTAAAGGTGAAAGGAGTGGAGACAGCTTCTACCTGCACTTAACCTGCACTTAAGTGCTGTCGTATTGACTCCGAAGCGTAACGCTGACAACCTTCGCGTGTCAAGTAAGTTGAGGTCGCTCCGTCCAAACGCGCTTGTGACCAAGCCCATCTCCTCAATAGGAATGAGCTTGAGCTTCCTGTAAACGCCTTCTCGTAGGATTGTTATCAGACCCCCGTTATCCAAAACACCACGTACGTAACATCAATGTCCCGATGCCATCTGCCAAGTGCGAACAGTTTGAAAGAGAACGTCAGACAAGAATGTAGGAGACGGTCCGTTCGTAGGGATATGCATCGTAGCGTCATCGGCACTTTCGATTTTTGCACGAGTACTGTAATTTGCCCCTGTGGCACAGGTTGTAGACGCATGACGACCTTCGCATACCTTGTATTGTACTCTGCGGCGGCATTCTCATGCCAGGTGTCCTTTGGCGGTACACTAGTAGCAACGACCATTCTCTCTGAGTGATTCTATGCGACGCTGATGTGGCTAGTGCATTCTTCAGTAGTGTGGTCAGTTGCCGCACAGAAAACGCAGGTCATGTTAGAAACACTTGTCCTATTGTGAATCATCTTCGCAGCCGGAGGTGACGGAGGCTTGCGAAAGCTCTGAGTGGTATCGCTACGATTGTTCATAAAACCTCGAGTCGATATCAGTGTGCGTCTGTCACGACACTCAACTTAAATGTGAAGATATTGAAGCAAGTGATCGACTCGTCACTTCTAACTAGGATTGGGTACAGCTGGCCTCCGTTGAGACTAAACCTGAGCCTAGGCTCTCGTTTTTGCATATTCAGCTACGCTATCTGCGGGAAGGACTTTCAGCGGTGCCTCGTTCAGCATGGGAGTGTACGATGTATTGCTCACTCCAAGACCAGCAAGTCTCCTCTGATTGATTTGAACCTCGTTGTACAACTGCCGTAAGGCGACCACATCGCTCGATGACCGAACATACTTCAGGGGGCGGAACTTTTGAAGATGTTTCTGCTCAAATCTCCTCGCACTTCCGAATCACCGTTTCAATATGTCAAGTGCACCGTGGTACGTTAAATCCGCGAATTTACGCCGGGAACGGCTTGAGCAGCGGCTCCGTCACGTAGAGAGACCCGATAGTGAAACAGACCTACGTTAGACAAGCTTGTGCTATCATGAATGGAGTGGCGGAATGTGCTCCAAAACGGCTGCCCCAGAGTTTAGCTGCCATTGAATTGCCAGAGATCTCGTTCAAGCAATCTCACACGAAACTCAGGTTGAGGTCATGGCGTGGTTGTTGCCGAGGTCGTTGGCGCGTCCCCATTAGCAAATTCGCCGTCGAAAGGAGGGCGGAAACCTTGAGCCTGTCTGTGTGATGCTCCAGCAGGGCCAACGTGCTGGTAGTAGCGTCTTCATATTCAATGACGCCATCGCAACCGCCTGCCACTTCCTCTTCTGTCAGGAAAGCTTTCAGCTCGGCGTTCAGCATGGCTAACTCATTTTGGGCCGCCTTTCATCGGCTGTAGAGCACATCAAGCGTCGAGAGGTTGAACTGTTTATACGGTATTAGCTGGCTCATCTCACTGATAATTCTCGTACTCTGCGCTCGACGAGAATCTCGCTTGTTCTTTGCACGCTCCATGACGGTATGGCAGCAGAAAGACGTCCTAGGTCAGAAGCAACAGCTCGGAAAGATGAAGGCCTGCTTCGCGGTTTTTTGCACCAAAAACGATGTGGGAACATCTGTCTAGAGAATTTTTGACGTTCAGCGCAGAGCTCTCAAGGAAGTGACATATATATAGGGCCAATTGAGACGAAAATTGGGCGCGATGATGACAACACCTGCATTCTTTCAGCAGTTGTAAAAAGATAGAATATAACTAGTTTACCTATAACTGAAAAAGTTTTTATTATCTATATGATCGGAACTAAAATATTGTTCGTGTAATTTATTGCTGTGCCCAAAATGAAATAGTTTTCAATGAGCGCAAGGGCGTTTTGATATGGCGGCTGGCATTTCGCATAGCAGACGACACCATTGTCGTCTGATTATGCGTCGTGGCTATAGACTCCGTTCGCTCAGCAGGCCCCTTGCTCAATTTCTCTCGTTTGCATATAAGTAGGTGCAGTAAACTACATATACAAGCTCACAAGTATCTTGCATACTTACTTTAGTAGGTAGTAATGCCGCATAAAGGCCAAGCGAAATGGCAATGCTGATCACAAAAGCCTGCAGCGATAAATTATTTTATGGTGAGTCAATCGGTCGATGTTTGAATAAAATAAAGGCCACGTAAGTACTGTTTTAGCACGTTCAACAGTGAACAATATAAATGCATCAGCGTTCATGTGCAAACGCGGTGCGTACTACGCATAGCCCCAGCGCAGATGCCCGGAGCACAGAAGCTGTCCAGCGCTGGCTGATATTCCCATCGAACTGCACAAAACCTTCGCTGGTGTAAGTAAAGGTACACCGCTAACGTCCCTGCACTTGTGTAGATGAAGATGATTTCACAACAACTCGTTGACAGTGTTCGGTAAGCTTTCTGTAATTGGTATCAAAATATCTGCGTGCCTTTCACGAGCAGTGCGGCGCGACTATTTGTTTGCTGGTCCGTGGTGCCACCTAAAGTGCGTCACTTTCCAATTTTCTACACGTTCAAGGTATGCCTGCTTCTGAGTGCCTAATATAAATGAGAAATGGTTTTTATGCTAACCACTTTCAAGTATTACAAAAAAAATGGTCGAAAAAAAATGTTTCGTACGGTTCCGTTTACCTACGCATGGCAGTACGCTGTCGTCGTTTCAATGGGGGTGGCACATGAAGGCCCGGGAACGAAGCTCGTAACATGCCACTGGCTTGGTGCTGTCCCTAATGATCGAACAGTCCGAGAACAAAGAACAATCTGCTCCATTGCTCTTCTTCGTCTTTAAGTCCGTGTCGCACGCAATTTTCCACAGCGGCTTTGCACCCAGCTAGCGTGATGTACCGTTACGCACGGCTCGGCCGCCGGGAGCAGGCGTTAGACGATCACATGGTGGTCATGACTCATGATTAAGACGTCGTGCCTCATCATTCGGTGCAAGCCGTGTTTCCATCTTATCGGCGTTCAGATATCAAGGCGATGCACTGCGCACGCCGCATTGTTACTGCGTTGCGCCTGCCCTCATTGTACCTCAATACAAGTTCACAGATATTTTGCACTTTAGCCGCTCCTAAATGCGGTCAGTCAACTTGGCTTTCTGAGGGAGTCGGTTGAATGCATCAAGATGTGACATAGCGCTAGCCATAAACGCGATCATCATGGCAGAGCGCATAATGCAAGTGTAAGGGCTTAATTATCACACCATTCTAGTCGTTAAAGTAAACAGTACGTAAAAGGAATGTTTGTGAGTATGGGTTCAATTATATGTAGGAATCAATTTCTATTGTTTTTTGTACCTACTCCTGTAAGAGCCTGTAAAGGCTTACAGTATGCAATAATAATAATAATAATAATAATAATAATAATAATAATAATAATAATAATAATAATAATAATAATAATAATAATAATAATAATATAATAATATTAATAATAATAATAATAATACTTGTACTCAGAGCAATGCTCTGTTTCCTTGAATTACTGACGCAGGGTGCCTTCCGCCTTGGTTCCCACGAGTACCGGGCTGAAGACGTCGCCAACGTGATCGAGTATGCGCGACTGCGGGGCGTGCGAATTGTTCCCGAGGTGCACAGCATGGGTTCGTGTCCTTTCCTGCCATTCTCTAAAGCGCCTCTCTCTGGGAACTTCAAAAATTACTGAATTTTCGGCACTGACGGACGTCTAAGAAGCACGTTACTTTTTTATTTTTCTTTCATCAGTTAGAGGCAGTACTAAGCTTAGCTGACAAGCTAAATTTTCTGCCAGGGGATAAGTGAATTTGCCTATTATTACGCTGAAGTCACCATGTACGACTTTTAAAATGATGCGAGAATTCATTGACATGGGATTTGCTTTTCTGTCTCTTTTTTTCAAAAAAGTAAGAAAATAGTATTCGTGCATTCAAACTCGCTGAATGAAGAAAATGTGTGCGGAAAGAAATGCGCATGCCTAAAAATGCAGCACGCGAAATATTTCTAGTTTACAGGACAAGAAGTACTCTACCTGTCATTTGAAAATGGGCATGAATCGCCACATCAGATTTTGATATAATTAAGGTAAATGGTAAGAGAAACATGCAATATCGAAGCAATGGTAAAACTTGCTGGTGTTCCCGCTGCTGGCTCCCGTTACATGCCGAGTTCAAATAATTTTCCATGTCGTCATACGTACCAACTTCCTTTAGCAGAAGTGGCACAATAATTAAGTTGTTTAATGTACCTAGCCAGCTATTGAGGCGGAAACTTCAAAACACGTAAGTTGTTTTTCGAAGTGCACCGTTAAATCGTTTATTCTGTCTGAAGCGCTTATTTTGAGATTGCTGTAATTGTAGGAATTTTCGGCTGTCTCTGGAGGAACTCCCAGGCTTTCGACGTTGGTAGCTATTGACACCACAGGTTCAGTACTTGCTTCACTTCAACTGCGACGGGGTCATGCTTCATTGATAAGCAATTTTAATGCCGTCACACGTTATCCCTGACGTCAGTTGGTGCAAGATTATTACGTACTTGTCACCAAAAACTTTGAATTTTTTTTTGTGTTACTTGAGCGTCTCAACTACTGGCTCTGAAAAGACAGAATTTTTTTAAACAGCAAAGTGGAAAGTCTGCCCTACTTAGCAAGCAGGGCGTACTTAGCCAGCCATTAAGAAAATGTTGATTTAATCACGAAAATTCTCGCAGTTTGTGCTAAAGATTGATATGTGAGTTTTAACGTTCCAAAACCACCATATGATTATGAGAGACGCCGTAGTGAAGGGCTCCGGAAATTTCGACCACCTGCGGTTCTTTAACGTGCACCCAAATTTGAGCACACGGGCCTACAACATTTCCGCCTCTATCGGAAATGCAGCCGCCACAGCCGGGATTCAATCCCGCGATGTGCGGGTTAGCAGCCAAGTACCTTAGCCACTAGACCACCACGGCAGTGCGCAGCTTGCGCTAATTGGTTCAAGGCTGGGTCACAGCAGAGCTGATAGGAACCTAGCCACTTCTGGTTTGGCTAGGCTTTCACCATCTCTTTCGCTATGCTATATACTGTAATGTACTGTACTGCACTATACATTGATACGCTAGCTCGTTTTCTATTTAGTATGTTCCTCTACCTCCGTAAGTGTATTTGTTTGCCCATTCTTAACAGGAACGTAGAATGCCAAGGTCTATCATAATTTTAGGGACGTATTTCCGTCACGAGTTTGACTATCATAAATTGGGTGCTACCAAATAAAAAAAACTATGGGGAAGACTTTCCCAGCCTGGAATGAAACCTCTCACTGCCTGGCCTGCGATGATAAGCACCCGGTGCTGTGCCCATGGAGCTGTCTGGGACATGCGAGGCGGGGAACAAATGCTCCTTATATTTCTGACCTAATCCCGACAAATCAGTAAATAAAGATTGCGTGGAGCCGACATTATGACAAGCTTGTTAAAGCGTTGGCTTGACGCAAGCCCTTTTTGCGGATTTTTTTTATTGCAAGCTTCCACTTTCCCCCTCCTACCATGTTTTTTTTCATTCACACATTCTCTGTCGCACAGTGCTCTTTATTAGCGCAGGGGCAGTGCCATCGTCTGTGAGTGATTACGAAAAGTAACGTGAAATAATAGTGGCACTGACGAAGAACGATGTGTCGATCATGCCGTTAAAGCATTGCGTCCGAGATTCTGCACCAGCTTGCAATACCAAACGTCATGGTGAATGCGTCTCGATAGCCACAAAAACACAGGACGCCCTCGCATTAGAGAGTCAAGAAGGGCATGCCGTCGAGTACCAGTGTTTATTACGGTCTTGTCGATGCCACCTTTGTGGGGCATTCACGATACGCTGTGTTCAGGTATAGGTTAATGGCTTCAGCTACCACAACAGATAAATCATGTTCATGAGTGTTAGTCGTTGTGATGAAGATGTACCATTAGGCGTCAATGGAGATGCATCCATTTCAAACAATGCCGAAAACCGATATAAGCTATAAAAACTCCTATAATCCCTAGATATTGAGCACTGATTCTGTGAGAATAGTTTTCTTTTCTCCTGATAACAATTTGTGTGAGAGAGAGATTAGTCACATTATTTTTTCTGCCTTTCTTTTCTCTCATTCTCTTTCTCTTTAGGCGTTTCTTCTACACTGTGTAGTCGTTCTTTTGTCTTTATCTTCTCTTTATATATATTTCTTTTTTTCTGCCTTTCTCTCTCGTTCTCCTTTATTTCTTTCTCTTTTGCTCCACGTAACATTCCATTCGCTCCCCCTTGCTATGCCATAGAATTCAAGGCGGGAGTGACTGCAGGGCTGTGCATTTAGTTTTTGCTTATTAACTGCGACTACGGAATTCGGTGCTGATTGAGGGCATGCCGGTTCATGATAATAATTTTGTATATACAAGACATGGCAAACCTTGACCGTAACAGCTCTGCTGCCCAGGATTTGCAGTGAGAAATATAAGAAAGTACATAAGTGTAAAGCCAACCTGAATGTAAAGTTGGGAGTGGCAGGGCAGGTGCAGTGCGCAACTGATCTGTGAACTTTGGTGGTTCATTCGATACGCTCTGCAAGAGAGAAACATATTTAGCAGACATTGTATACTAACAAGATATTATTGTCGAGATGTTGTGGTTTGTATGTAGTCGTCATTTTTGTGCTATTATTGTCCTTAAGCACAGTGCAAGAATAACAGTAATACCTGGTGGTTTATGCAACAATACTATACGAATATTAGAGGCGTTGTAGTTGAGGGCTTCGGAGATTTTGGCCATTTGTTGTTCTATAACGTGCACTGACAGCCCTCAGAGCACGGGCTTCTAACCTACCGCCTCAATGGAAATGCGACTGAAACCATTGGAATAGAACACGCGGCTTTCAGGTGAGCAGCTGAGCATCATAAGCACTTAATTATCCGCAGTGGCGAACGAGCTACAAAAAGTGTGGTAATATACCGCATCCATAATGTGGTTTGGTTAGCGTTGTGTGTGGCTAATTTGTCAATCGCCTTCATTGAAATTCTTTCGCTGCATAAAGAGTGGAAAGCCAAGCGTGACGGTCCAATAAAAATGCCTGCCTTTACTGAACCTGTATGTCAGGCTACACAACTACCTCTATATTGGATACAGCTTACGAAAGTCGCCCCAACCACTCAGTGGCATTTTGAAATGGCTTTTTGATTACTGCCTTCAACAGCATTTATGCTGACTGCAGAATTCGCACTAACGAGTAAGTACATACAAAAGGCTCCAGACGGGGGAAAGAGTAACAGAAAAACACCTTGGATAGCCCAGGTGCTTTTCGCTCAGTCTGTCGTTATATTATTGGTTAGTAACTCACGTAGAACTCGGCTATTGACGCATTTTATTCGTTAAGCGAGTTTGAATGCACGAGTACTCTTTGGTGACTTATTTGAAAAGAGGGAAAAGACAGTCAGCTCTTAAGTTCTTCTGTTCATTTACCTGAGACGACTCGAAAGTAAACGTCGTCCTCTTTTTTTTTCACGGAAAGCGGATCAATTCGCTCGACACTCTCCTCCCCCTGAGAGCTTTCTGCTCCTCAACTGCTTTTGCGTTGCCTCTGGGGTCAACACACTTTCTACAGTGGTGCGATTCTGTGTGATGACATAATTTTCTGACATCATAATTGCGTCACAATGAACAATACGTAATGTCAAGATGTATTGTAAATGGCGCAGCTAAGAATGTCACCTTAAAAACCGCGTGTACCTCCCCCCATAAGGTTACTCATCACAATCCACAGAAATACGAGGGATGTTATACAGCTACACGTCACAAGACCGCATAACTGCAGAACAAAAACAACAACGAAAAAAGAAGCAACCACAGGAGTGTGAAGTTGCCGCAGACTGGGACTGTGCCACTATATCTTCGAACCAAGCAACTATGTCTAAAGACATCGGTGCATAGATAAGTATTGACAGTACGCTTGGTAGAAAACATAACCGTAACGTGCTGGCTCGTGCCCACAAATGTTAACTAAACAACGACAAAAGTTCGCAAGAGTTCGCTTACTTTGCCATATGTTCGTCAAATATTCTATTATTAAGAATGCTTCGTATCATCTGAGCACTTAATGTTCTCAGTCTATTTTGAAACTACTAGTAGATTTCTAAGTGGTACGTAGGTAAATGTTCAAGTAATCTGTTAATCTGAAGTGTTCCAATACCTGACTGTGCAAACGTGTTTTTTATGGCCGCAAGTAAAATTAAAAGTACAGTTCAAGCATTGCATGGGGTAGAGTGATGTTTGAGTGTGGTAATAGTGTTGGTTTTGCGACACTTTGCTTACACACCTCCATGCACTGCGTGGTGCAGATAGCATGGCTTCAGTGGGGCGTAGCCACCCAGAATTGCTGTGCAATGACTCTGGCTTGCTGGACCCGACCCACAAGGACGCCATAAGCTTCACGCGCGTGCTGTACGCCGAGCTGGCCCGCCTGTTCCCCGACCAGATGGTGCACCTCGGTGGACAGGACTTCTCGCCCTCATGCTGGTCAGTAGAAACTGAGTAGCACAGTAGAGCAGTCCACCTGGTACCGCTTCATCATACACAGTACCAAATTAATGCGGAAACTAAGAAATATAAAATATGGTACCCCTGATGACCCCCAAGCATAGGTGGTTTGTGACAGCATCAGTGGTCCCACGGAGAAAAATGTTTGAGACCAGTAACGTCTGCGTAGCTTGGGAACGTATTAAGGCAAACTAAAACAAAGAATAATAAAGTGTGGGGCGAGTGGCTACTGAGATGTTAGCGGGCCACGTGTTCGAAACTCCTGTGCTATATGACCTAGTTGTTAAAGTGAAAAACTGTGGCAAGAAAGATCAATGAAAACAAGCAATGCTCTTTACCTGTTTGGTCTTTCTTGTCTCCGTTACTTTGCGCCGTTTTCTGTTATGATACTCTATACCAAGAAGTAAGCACCTGAAAATTCGAAGTTATATCTGTTCGCTTATCATGGCAGTACTGATACAGATACTATGTCATCGATTTGCACCCAGGAATAACGCCATCCCATGCATTTTCGAAATATAGGTGCCAGCCACAAAGTCAGTTTGATGCTCATCAGCACCAGCGGCAATGACCCAGTAAAGGAATCGTAGCAGGTGACTCGTCCGAAGCTGCACTTGTCAACTGGTTGTCCTTGCAACGCTAGCTTTATGAGGCACCAAAGGTGGCGCCCGTCGGAGCGCTTTCACGGGCACTCGTGTTCTCCTGAGCAGTGAATAGAACCCTACATAGTATTTACCGAAAAACGAGTTGCCTTGCAATTACATTACTTTCGAAAACAACCTGTGCACACACAACGTAGACATCACCGGTTAGAAAACTCCTACGCACGTTGACTCCTGGTGTCACATGAAGAAATATTGAAAGATATTGCCTGATTGCTTTGTGCGCACCGAACGGAATAATGCGAATATTGCGACGATTCCCAGGAACAACAATTCTGACCTGCAGAGACGGATTGAGGAGTCCAGAGGGAGCGTGAAGGCGTATTCCACGCTCTTCTTCGACTCGTAAGTTTTTATTCAGTGCTTCGTTTGATTATTGTAATATATCAGACAGTAGGCTCACACAGCGAACAAGGATCATTTGTGTTTCTATGGAAATACAGTTTGACAGTTGAATGTCAGCATTCCTATTTCTAGGAAGAATATAACGATATTCCTGTGGAATGCAAAGTATAGGATGGTATGTCTGATCAAGTTCCAACTTAATTTTAGCGGACTGGGTACAGCTTGTAGTAATTCAACAATTTGTTTTCAAGGCGACAGTAGTGTCACCGGCAGATATGTTCAATGTGTTTATATATTCGCCGTTGGAAGACGTGCAGATAGACCTAAGTAAATTTTTTCGATATTCTGAGTAGCAGTACATATTTCACAACAGCGGAATGCGAACGATACTATTTTTTTTAGAACAGTAAGTCTAGCTTTTTAGGTAACATACAAGTTTGCGGTCTTTATTGCGAGTCTGAATATATAGGTTAGGCAAAAATATTGGGGAGGGTAGCCGTTCGCACTGATGTGCGAAGCATGTAACGCTCATCTCTGCAGTGATAACTGTCACTGTGTCTTACTTACCAAAGCTATGTTTCTGCAGATTATTCCAGATTCCCAATCGTTTGCACAAGGCCGCTGTGGTAGCAGACGAAATTATTGAACGCTGGAACATAACGGTAAGTTGTCTCCGTCACGTTTCTAATTATAGAATTGACAAGTAGTAAACACAAAAATAGCTGAACGTCGCAGTATTACACGACCAAATGCATCTTCAGGGAATATTCAACAAAGCTTGAAGGCCTGGTAAATGTGTTAGGAATATACCGCGATAATTTCAACTCGTTCAGCCCGTACTCAAGAGCCTCAAAAGATAATCTCACCAGATCCAGAAGGCGTTTGTAGTGGATGTTGGCGCATAATAGAAAAGTGAAAACGAAAATAAAATAAACGCCGAAAGAAACAAGCGGAAGCTAGCACAATGCTTCGAGTTTCGGAACGAAAACTGCAGCTACATCTCAAGTGTCTAAGAGGTCCCAAAGCAATTTCCGTCACACATGACGACCGTACCAATAGACGGCCACGTCTTCAGTAATCATATCAATCCCAGAATTCCTGTCCTTTTATGAGTACTTGTAAATCCCTTCAAGTGGGGAAGCTTCAGATTTATGCAAGTGTATTTATTAACCTGATAGTATATGCTATCACTTTTTATTCTATGCAATAATTTCTGCAATTAAATTATGAAGAGCCTTCTTGATATTTATGGCTATTTGCTGGTCAACTGCTAAACAATGTGAAGTTATTTTTTTCTGAGAAACCTGTGTGCTTCTTTGAGGGAGTATGGCAAGATAGATGGATGAAAAAAGCGATTTTTTATTCTTTAAAATAACAGACACTATGACGAGCAAAACTGTACATTGAAAAGAGCAGTGGAGGCGCTCCAAGTTCTTCAAAAATAGCGCCAGAGGTTGCGCCTCCCAACGGATACGTGAGCTCTTTTCCTTCATTCTTTCTTCATGTATGCATTTTTAGCAATTATTAAGGTCTGGTCGGCGGAATATATTCACTTCCTAGCGTTTGCATACTTTCCGATTGTGAATCTTTCCATCAAAATGCATTTTTAGATTTTTAGCGGAAATATGGCTCCATGCTGCAAGCCATTTCACGCGTGTTTTCAAGCACTAAAGTACATTTTGTTCCCGATCTGTTTTTTGAAACTCTTGCAAAGTTGATTTACTTTTCTTAGTAAACTATCTGACGGATTCCACTTAAATCTTTTGAGATCGTAACTGTAGCCTTTGCAAATAGTCTGAACCTAAAACTTTCAGGAACTCCTTAAGTTACACTTAGGGAAAAAAAGATTATTTGAAAAGTCTCCCTTATGATACGTCATCAGTGTTAACAATATTTCTTTTCGTTGTGAGACGATTATGAGAGCCAGTCTTGTATTTTTGATTTATTACCACTATTTTGTTGAATAGGCATGGCAAATATCATATTCATGCTGTCGTTGGTTTTTTAGATAAAGTACATTGTATTTTGCGCACTAGTCTGAGTTTCGTGCTTCATTAGAAGCAACTACAAAAAGATAGAGGGTTAAAACTTCACATACTGAAAGCCATTACCATTCTTTTTAGGCACACGAAATTTCACAACAAAATATAATGCAGTTCTGGAGGTTTAAAGCCGAAAACAGGATGACCTGTTTACTCTACCAAACCACTATAACATAATAATGAAAACAGGCAGATGCCAATTTTTGTTTTCCAGTCGTTTAACATTTGAGACCCATTTCCCTCACTTGTATTCAGTAGCATGTCGGCTTTATCAGTATGTTGTTTCACGGTACCTCTGTCTGCGTTCCTGTTCAGGTTGCAGAGGTCACTTTTCGCTATATAACTGGCAGCGTCATTAATCTTTCTTCGCTTTTTTTCTTTGCCATCATGCTAGTCTCTTACATGACATAGTTACAAGCAGCACACCTGACTGTATAACTTTCCCTGTAGACAGTAGCACAGATAAATGCTTGGGGGAGGGGGGTTCAGCTGTACTTGGGGGAGGGGGGTTCAGCTGTACTTAACATGAGTTTGTGCGTATGCTTGTATGTGTGCCTGTATAATACACATGCAGAGTTAAATTTTAAAGGGTGGGCGGGCAGGGGGTTAAATGAGAAGGGGCGCAAGCATAGCCCCTGCTCGACGTTATGCCTGTATTTCGACAGCTGATCTGAAACAATAGTTCGTCCCGATGATCTCGGCGCTCAGGTACCCCGAATCATGCTCGTGGAAGTTCCGTCCTCTCGAGTGGCCGGACGCATGGGTCCAGTCACGTCGGCTGGCCACCGAGCACTGGCGTTTTGTGATGGACTGCTGGAGCACAACTGGACCCGCCTCTACACCTGCGATCCGCTCGGGTTCGAAGGTGGGCCTCCCTGCACTCCAGGCATCCAAGCATAAAGAAACACAAAAGATAAACAGTTCCCCTTTCTTTTTTTTTTTTCGATGTCTTAGAAAAAAAGAGTGCAACGAGGCCAGAAGCAGCACTGCCTAAGAATTCAGGAGTTACACACACATGATTAGACAAGACTGTGGGTAAGAAAACATTGGTGTTCACTGAAAGTGGCAGAGTCAGAAGTAATGAAGCATATGCAACACGCCTATGCTCCCGAAGCTTTGCTTTCATGACGTAGCGGTTCATGTGTCAGGCCTCTGTGCTCGACAGCCGTGAAATCAGGGGTTTGACCTTGCGGTAAAGTAGCTTCGCCGGCTACATTTCTGAATTTGTTATCGGCGCTTTACGTTTGCTTTTACTGACTTGACTTACATAACGTTAGATGATGCAAGTCGAACAATGGTCGATACCAACGAGACAGTGCCATACGGATTATCATGTGCTCTCGTTTTTTGGATTTTTATGTAGCAGGTTATATGTGTCGCCACTGGTCTATTCAGGCCATTGCGCTATGTGTTAGAAGCTTTCCGATTATTTGAAACTGTTCTGCTGTGATGCAGAAGAGTTTAAAGTAATCTGCTTAACAGAGGAGCTGACGTATCTGCTTTCCAAAATTGTGATATGAATATGAGAGACGCGGTAATGGAGGGTGCCGGAATTCTCGACCACTTGGGGTTCTTCACGTACACCTAAATCTTAGTACACACTGGAATCTACAATTCCATAAGTATAAATGACGGCGTACCTTTCTGAACTGCTGACGACCAGTGGCTATATGCATGTCGATATCGCTGTCCTCAGTGCGATTACTCGAGGCACAAGTTCTCCTCAAACATTTTCATCTTTAACGGCTCAAGTATTTGCTCTCTTCACTACCACGGCCATGGGACAATATCAATGAAGAGTTACTCGCAAAAGTAGCCATAGCAACGAGCGCATGATTAAGGAAAACTTTGATTGGATCTGATCAGGTGGTGGTCTTCAGTCAGGCGTGAAAGTAAGACACTTGTTGGGCGCGTTACCTTCGCGCATTCGAAAGGCCGTGCGTTTATAGTCCTGGAATCTTATCGCTGGTAGGATGAGGGTGAACCCTTGGTGACCTAGGGGACCGATGCACCTTGGTTCTTGTGAGATTGAGTCGACAAACAATGCCTGTTGTTGAAGTGAACTTTATTGCCAAATAGGTACAAAACATAAACAGCAAGGATGAAGGAATACAAGTGGCATATACATAGTTTGACTGGTTATGCCTCGCCGAACCATAAAAGCAGCGGCAACATTAAGAAAAAAAATCACTTGCCACAACAATAAAATAGAAATACACAGAACAAATCGATTAATTTTTGCTACCTTTAAACGCCGTATAAGTCACTGACCAACAGTGACTATTGATAATTACGGTTTGTCGCACCTTGGTGACAAGAAGGGCGGGGTTTAATGTCCGACTCTTACATTTTAAGATTTCCTCATTAAGAGCTATGTGAATGCGGGGGTAAAATATGCTGCGCTATTGAGTTCCACCCACTTCACAAAATCAAGTTCAAAGGTTGCTTTTGTGAGGTATGTGAGACGTGCATAACTGTAAAAGTACATAGCTTGTCCTTCCCTGCATGTCAGTTGGACACTGACAGTGAGAGGAAAAAAAACAAATTTTGGCATAGGTACGTAAAGCGGCCTTTCATAATGAAACAACTAAAGCTGCTCGTACCAATTCTATTGTGTGGGTGTTTGGTGGGTTTCAGGTGCAGAAATGTCCACACCTAAATTATGAATATAGTGTTTTGGTGGGAAAAAAATTAGCACACAAGTTAGTGATAACCGCAGCCCCAAAATCAAAACAAGCATTGAAAATTAGGGGTTTATGATGAATTGCTTTTGTCGGCCACTCCCACCTAAAACAGGCAGATGATGTCACTAGGCGCACACTATTTGGAATGCTAGGGAACAAGAAATTTTGTGTCGTGATTTTACAGCGGCGGTATTTGGTGTTTGTGCTACTTTCTGATATCGACGACTGTAATTTTTAACTAGCGTGCGTGAGTAGTGACATTTCTGTGCGTCATCTCCATATGGTGATATAGGGCGGTGCAGCGTACTACAAAAAGCCACAAGAAACACACGAGAGAAGGACGAGGGCAAGCGCGTCTAAGCTGCGCTTTGTGGGCACGCATTTACTCTTACCCTGTCGTCACCTTGAAACAATCATGTGGACGTTACGCATAAAATTGTCACTGCCCGTGCTCGCTATAGTAAAATATTTGAGTGGCTGCATAAAACCAGGGTTTATGAGCGAACAATGGTTTTCAAACAATCTTTATCCAGCTATTCACACAGTGTATTGTTCATCCCCCAATAAATTTAAAACTAAACACCACCTTCAGCAGTCAGAGGTCGATATGATTCGTACTACATCAATTCGTCTCCTGTCACCATGCGAGCAGCAATGAAGATGGACCTTGAAATCATTTCAATTGAATGAAGTTACAAATGCAAAGTAATGAAGGCAGTAAGAACAAATCCAAATGTTACACGAATTAAGGCTATCAGCTCAATCCCTTAGCATCCGATCAAGAGTAACTCAATGAGATGCTCGCGTTAGGGAAGAGGGCCACTGCCTCGAGTGAAGTGAGCTTTGTGATGTCCACCGCATGAACGCAAGCGATGCAGCACGCGCAAATATTTCAGCTGTAAGCTCATTCCTGCCAAGAAAACGCGTGCATCAACACTGATGCCAGATTTAAGTAGCCAGCACCATCTCATTGCACGGCAAAAGACAGCCGACGCATTTACTCTTCGCTTGAGTGGCGATCGCCGAATTCTCTCGCATGCTTTCGTTCGGTCATTATAGAACATGCGTCACATAGGGGTTTTTACTGATTTAGACTTTACCCGAAAGTGGTGGAAACGGCAAGAATACGCCTGTAGTGTACATGTTACTGCTATCACAATGAAAGTAACTTCTGGAAGGTAAGGCGAAGGTTAGACCAACCCACCTGCATCAAGTTATAACACCTTCTCTGTCTTCTATTCCGTAACAGTGGTAAATGTCATCCCACACGCTATATCAGCGGTTACGGGGCTCAGCTGCTGACCTGAAAGACAAGGGTTTGAGAGCAGCCGCGGTGGTGGCATTTCGGTGAAGGTGAAATGGTACAGGCTCATGTACTGTGTGACGCTGTGCAGGTTAAAGAACCCCAATAAGAACTATAGTTGTTGGGCGAGTTGGTGTTACCTAAAGTAGTGATTTTAGGGATAAAAAAGCTAAAAAGATGTGAGAGACTGAGGTCGCTAACCGAAATTCGCTGTCATGTCTCTCACCTGTACGAGTCCTTTTTTAGCACTAAACTCCACATATTAAGGAACACCAGATGGCTCGAATTTTCGGGGCCCTCCCCTGCGGTGTTCCACATATTCATATTGTGGCTTCGGGTATTGAAACCTTACGTACCACGATTAGGTTTTCACATTTCAATTGAGTACAACAATGACCTTCCCGCACCTTTTTTGAGACTTCAGTTTGCTAATGAAACTTTCTTAAGGTTGCCTTCATTTAGAAACGCATATCGCGCATTGCTTACTTGCCGCAACTAAATCGCTATTGCCAAGTTTTGAAAATTATGTTGTGGCCATTGTGTCGTGGCTACAGTGTGTTCTATTCACTGTATGGGGTGAAAACTTGTGTTTCAGGAACTGAGGCACAGAAGAGGCGGGTACTAGGTGGCGGAACAGGTCCAACGGGACAATACATAGACGGTACTAACATCATTAGCCGAACCTGGTAAGAGACCCTATCGGTGGCATCAAGGCACTTTATATATCAAGAGAAATACTAGAAGTGTACTGATGTGTTTTTCATTCTGATTTTTAACGAAGTGAGAAACGTTTACTATGCAAATGGTGTGTTTCATGTGCTAAGCTGTTGCATGAAAAAGTTACGAAGCTAACAGTGATTGATGCATCTCATACAATCCACGGAATCTAGATTAAAATAAAATGTAAATTACAGTGCTCAGTAATTAGACGGCGATGGTGGTTAACAAACAATGTTTCTAATGTGCACGTTTGAGCTGGCTGATGCTGTTAAACCCGGATGCGTAATCACATAGGTCTATATATTAAGAAACGGGGTTATCCGAGCTGAATTAACCACATAAGAAATAATTGCGTTATTCGGAACAAAGCAACAACAAAGAAACCAACATCTACAATTAAACGTACCTTTTCCTTTGAACTTTATTCAAGCATTCACCGAGAATTCAGTAAAAAGCGAAGTATTTCAGTATTTTTTTTGAAAGATTATCGCAATTGCCTAGCAAAAAATCACAAATATTTTCTTTCTTCCTTTTCAAGTCAAGAATTAAGAGATTGTGCGCATTAGTTTGTGCAATTTATAGTAGTCTTTTCAAAACCTCCTACAGACGAAAGTGCTTGAGACATCTGTACAGAGGCGTATACAAGGCATAGCTAGTTTGATGCTATAAAAAATTTAAGAGCAAATAAAACTATTACGAGAATGAATTATATCTATATCTTCAAATAGACTGAAATGTTTGTACAGTTAATACGTAGAGCCCCTGACAACATAAAGTCTGGCTCATAATTATTAATGCCGACGATGTTGTGGCCCTAAAACAACCACACTTACTTCAACTAAGCTTGTTACATAAAATATTCCAAGGGTAGCGAGTCACAGATAAAGAGTTTTTGTAATGAGACAGTTTTTCGTTCCTGAATGATAGAAAGCTATAATGAAGTATTTACATGCAACCGTCAAGTTTAAAATTATGCAACTGAATAACAAGAAACACTGTCTTAATGGTCTGAAGAATATTAGTCATACCTATAGGTGCTCCAAAAGTAAAATCGAGCTAGCGAGTTGTGGCCAAGATGCGCAAAAGTGAATGCCGGCGAGCTCCATCAGAGAAGTGGTGCTTTATTTTTATGTGGAAAAGATGGCACTACTTTCTGACCCGTTTCCGTATAAAAACAAAGAACCACTTTTTTG